GTGAAAGATTTTAATTACCTATCTCTATAATTAATAGAAACAAAAGAAAAAATCTAATAAATTTACATTCTTTCATAATTCTATTATTTTTGAACAATTTCAGATTTATAGGAAAATTGGAAAATACTAGAGAGAATTCCTTAATGTTAATGTCTTATATGACCGTGATACATGTATGGAATTTCATATTGGTACATCACTATATTAACTAAATTATAATCTTCATTCAAATTTCACATATTTTTCCACCAATTTTTTTGTTGTTGTTGATGGTGTTCCAAAATCCAGGGTATCATATTGCGTTTAATCATCCTATCTTTCTAGTCTTCTCTAGTGGATTAAATTTTCTTTCTCTGACCACAGTGCAATTTATCTAGAAATCAGTAGAAAAACAATAAATAGAAACTACTTGGGTCAAGAAAATAATAATGTAATTTAGAATATATTTTTAATTACATAGTAACTAAATCCATATTAAAACCTGTGAGATTTGGGCTGGGGTTGTGGTTCAGCGTTAGAGCACTCACCTAGCGCGTGCTCGCCCTGGATTTGATCCTTAGCACCACATAAAAATCAGTAAGTAAAATAAAAGCATTGTGTCCAATTACAACTAAAAAATAAATATTAAAAAAAAAACTTGTGAGATTTAACCAGAATAGTTTTTAGAGAGATCTTTAAACCTTAAGTTCATATATTAAAGGAGAAGACTAAAAATTAATGAGCTGTATATCCATCTTAATAAAGCAGAAAGTATCAAAGTAGGAAGTAAATATAAGGAAGATGAGCAAAGCTAAAATTCTTTGAAAATGATTAAATGATAAATAGAAAGTGAAAATTTTAAAACATTATTTATATAGCATAAGTTTTTAGGAATAAATGTGACAAAAAGATGCATAAGACATCTATGAGAATATTTTTTTTTTAGTTTTATTTATTTATTTTTAAGAGACATTACCTTACTATGTTGCCCAGGCTGGCCCTGAACTCCTGAACTCAAGCCATCCTTCCTCCCCAGGCCCCAAGTACCTGGGACTACAGGCATAGGCTACCTACCATACCTGGCTTTGGAAATAATTTTTATATTTGAAAGAAATTAGAGACCCATATAAAATACAGAGATGCGGTGCTCTTAAATTTCAAGACTGGAATTATAAAGATTCCAGTTTTTCCAAAAAGTACAATCAAACAAAATTCCAGTTTTTCCAAAAAGTACAATCAAACAAAATTCCAGCAAACTGGGGGGGGGGGGGTACGGTTTAGGAGCAGGGAGTTGTGGAATGCAACATGTTTTTTTTTTTTTTTTAAGGGGGGGGAGAGAGAATTTTTTAATATTTATTTTTCAGTTTTCAGTGGGCACAGCATCTTTATTTTATGTGGTGCTGATGATTGAACCCAGCGCCCCGCGCATGCCAGGTGAGGGCGTTACCGCTTGAGCCACATCCCCAGCCCAACATGTTTGTTTGTTTTTTTTTTTTAATAACTTATATGAAAGTAGAAAAGGCCAGTAATAAACATCGATATTCTTGAAGTAGAACAAGTAGGGAGGATATACTTTTTCATATATGAAACAGCTAATATTATAATTAAGAATTAGACCAGAGAATAGAGCCACCCCACCCCCCAAAAATAAACCACTATGCTTATGTAGACAGAAATAGGGCATTACAGAGCAAGAGGGAAGAGCAATTCTTTCAATAAAAGGTGCCAAGACAATTTGTTGGCCATAGTGGAAAAATGAAATTTGTTTTCCACAATTCACACAATAATGATTCTGTTCCATGTGCATTAAAGTTTAACTGTAAAAAATAAAATAAAACTAGGGGCTGGGGTTGTGGCTCAGTAGTAGAGTACTTGCCTAGCACGTGTGAGGCCCTGGGTTCGATCCTTAGCACCACATAAAAATAAATAAAATAAAGGTATTGTGTACAATTACAACTAAAAAATAAATATTTAAAAAAACAAATATAAAACTAAATGTTTGAGACCCAACAATAGGGAGGAATTTCTAAACAATACAAATCCATTAACCTATAAAGGAAACATTAGTAAACATGACTACCTTAAAATTGAGAATTTGAGTTCATCTAAAGTCATCCAAAGAGGATGTAAAAGCAAGCCACAGAGTACATGACTGCAACTTATAGAAGATTAATATCTAGAAGGTATAAAGAACTCCCAGAAATAATTTTTTAAAAGGTAGACAACTCAGTAAAAAAAGGATCAAACAGACATTTCACAAAAATGGATATCCAAATGGCCAGTGAACTTACAAATTTGTCATGAAGGTAATACAGATTGAAATAAAAATGAGATACCATTATAACCTTGTCAAGCTAGCCAACATGTGAAAGTCTAACAATATTGAATGTTGGAGAAGATTTCAACATTGTGAATTTTTAGATCCTGATAATAAGAATGGAAATTAGCCATATACTCTGGGAAACAATGATTCCTTCAACATGAGAACTTAGATGCTATTAGCAGTATTATATGCTATGGCAAATAATACTGCTATGAACATTCGTGTACATTTATCCTGTTTCACACATTGAAAGTTTTCACTCTCAATGTGTGAACAGGATAAATGTACACGAATGTTCATACTCTCCATGTGTGAAACAGGATAAATGTACATGAATGTTCATAGCAGGATTTTTTGCCATAGCCTCAAACTGGAAAGAATTCAAATAACCACCAAAAGATGAAATAATTGGGGTATATTTATATTTTGGAATATTGTACTACAATGAAAATGAACAAACAGCAGTTACACACTACACACAACTACCTAGCAAATTATATATTTGTTTATTTGATCTATTGTTTGTTTTTTACTCTAGAATGTAATCTTTATGAAAACACAGACAGTTTTGTTCTCTGCTGTGTGCACAGCTTCTCTAACAGCACATGTTACATAGTGGTATGTAATAGGCACTCAAATAAATTAATGAAGTATGAATGTAGATATTCTGCTTATAGAAATTTGAAATTTTGTATTATTTATTGCTAGTCTGTTTTAAATTTAATTGGTGTTCATATATTTATTTTATTCTAGTCAGATTTTTGTGATTTTTGAACCCATGGGTTCCTAATCACTGAGCCACTCTAGTCATATTTGTATGTATTTCTTAGAATTAAAACTTTAGATTCTTTGGGAAGACTTAATGGAGAAAAGTACTATAAATAGTCTTGAGAAAAATAAAGGTCTTGGGCTGGGGTTTTGGCTCAAAGTTAGAGTGCTCGCCTCCCATGCGTGAGGCACTGGGTTTGATCCTCAGCACCAGCTAAAAATAAAATAAAGATACTGTGTCTACCTATAACTAAAAAATAAATATAAAAAAATAAAGAAAATTTTAAAAATAAAGGTCTTGAGAAAAATAATGATAAGATATCATGCCCTTAAATTTTTAATTAAGCATCTAAGTTCTTATGTTGAAGGAATCAAAAATAGAAATCATAGATATGTTTTTGTGTGTGTGTGTGTGATTTGCATTGAGTAATAGCCCAAGGATTTTCTCTCAAAAGATCTTATTTGGTTTTCCATCAAAAGACTGACAAGTGAATACATCTTTGTTTTTTAAGTTAACATGAAATGTATAAGATACATATATAACATTTCCCACAATTTCCTGCTTTGGGTTTTTCTTTTTATTTTACTTTACTTTCTCTTATTTTATTTTATTGTAGTGTGTGGTAGTGGGGGTCAAACCCAAGGCCTCTTACATGCTAGGCAAGTTCTCTACCACTAAGCTACAAATCCAACCCTTTTTATTTTGAGACAAGGTCATCTAAGTTGCCCAGGTTGCCCTTGAACTTATGATCAAGTAACCTGAGCCTGGAACTTTTTTAGATCTTTTAAATTAACCCCCTTGTTTGAGAGGCACCATCCAGAGTATTACTTGAACAGATATATGTCAAGAACTATGATATTCAAAGAATAAATATTCATAATGATCATTTAGATGTAGGAAGAAACATTTCTTATTTTTCGCTTATTTTTCTTTGCATCATTATTTAATTTGTATTTTTCTTTTATTGTGTGGTTAACATATTAATACCATGATGCATGTATATAGTTTAAAAGTAAATATAAATGTATTTTTTAAGGATATGAAGATAATAGAAATAAGTTGTTTGGGCAACAGAAACTTTTTTTCTTCAATAGTCAAAGCAAAGAATAATGCAAGGAAAGTATAAATACCCAATTACATTTCTTATAGCTTAAAAGTTTGAATTTACTTTCCTTCTATACCTGTAAAGACAAAGATTAAATAAGAATCCTGATGCATATGTTGTTCTTGATTAATATATATTAACCTTCCTCCAGGAAAACAACATTAGTTATATCTGTTCATATTTCCACTACACTTTTCTAGAAACTAAATAATAAATAAAATGGAAGGACTTCGTTAACCCTATGAATTAGCAAATTTATATTTGCCTTGCTTTAAATGTGAGCCATTTTTAGTTAAAATAAACACTACAGTTTTTTATTTTTCCTATTGAAATAAACCACATTTATTTTAATCACTTAAGTGCATCTTTTTAACCCTAATAAATAAAGTTATGATGCACACCTATAATCTCATCTACTTGGAAGACTGAGGCAGGGGAACCACAACTTCAAGGCCAGCATGGGCAACTTAGAATAAATAAAAAGGACTGGTGGTATATCTCAGTGCTTGGGACCCTGGGTTCAATTCCCAGTACCTCAAAAAACAAACAATAAACAAAAAATAAAGTTGCATGTGATAATCTGATTTTATAATTTTTGCATAATTGAAGTACAACTTTGTAATGTCTTACATAATGTATTACATCGAGCTATAAAAAAATTGGAAACTGTTTTGTGTTGTTTTCAGTGCTGATTTTCTTTTTCATAAGTCTTACTTTTATATTTATTATTGTATTAGAATAAAAATCTTAAAAAAGTGATTTGGATTTCTTTTGTTATTGTTTCTAATTTATCATGATTAGTGAGATAGTCATTTGTTTTCTAGATTGATGACATTGTAAAAGCTGTTGGTAACTGCAGCTACAACCAACTAGTGGAGAAGATCATCTCTTGTAAGCAATCAGACAATAGTGAGCTGGTTAGTGAAGGTGGGTGAGTGTTGCTACTACTTGACTTTTTTATTCTTGGCAAAATAATTTGTCTTAAAATTTAATATCTTTCAAATTTCTTACATAGGACTTCTAAAAATACAAGTGATGCTACTTGTAGGAATTAAGCAATCATTCATAAAAGTGCCAATGAAAGATTTTTCCTAGAACCCTTTTCACTTGGCTTATAAAATCAGGCCTGGATGCTAAAAAGTCTTTGTAATCACTTGCAAGCTTTGGTATGGTCAATTACTCAGAGGTTACTGATAATTACTTTTTTTAAAGGATTATTATTTGGGAGGACTGGGTAGATTTTATAATCTATTATGAGCACTTCAGTTGACAGAAATGAGTATTATGTTGCTTAAATATTCTTTTTTAACAGACCTCTCCCTTATAAGACAGTATATTAAATCCCTATTCTGTATCAGAATATGTCTATGTATATTAGTAGCTCACTGAAATTACCAAATTCTTCCTTACAAAAGCAGCTTAATATTTTTTTCAGCTGTGTTCCAGTCAATTATGGGAGAAGCTGATTTAAAACCAGAAAGGCTATCAGAAACCACAGCACTTGGATATACCTTTCCCACCACATACTTCATTTTTTCATAAATAAACACAGATAATGAAGCTGCTATTTTCTTTTTTTAGAAGGATAAACAAAAAGAAATCAAGAGAAGCAAGGGATAAGTTTCATTCTTCCTCAGACACACTTCTTTTATGTAAGGTATAATAAAAATTGATACATCTTGGGGCTAGGGGTGTAGCTTAGTGGTAGAACACTTGCCTAGCATGTGTAAGGCCCTGGGTTCCATCCCCAGCACCACATAAAACTAAATAAACAAAATAAAGGTGTTGTGTCCATCTTTTTAAAAAAATTGATACATCTTTTAAAATCAAAGCAAATGACTACAGAATATATAAAAGATGTGTACACAAATCCACATTGTATTAATTATCAGAATGCAACTAATTATATTATTCACTTATCCAGAAATTTGACACATTTATGCAGGTGTTAAGAAAATACATGATATTTAATTGAGGTTGATCCCCTGGTCTTTTATTTGCAAAAAACATACGGATCATTGACTTAGATGACAACTTTCACTAAAACTTAAGGCAAAAAACTTAAATTTTAAGAAGGAACAACAAAAACTGTTGTAAGAATGTTTGAATGAACAAAATTCAACTCACTTGAACTATATATTCATGTCCATGCTCTCATTTCCAAATATATATTCCTAAAAAGAAGCCCATAAGAAAATTTCTATGAAATCTGCTTTCTCTTTAATGTCCAATATACTATTAGAGTTATGCTATTCATTACTAATCAAAGGAACTAAAGATTTTAAAAGTGGTAACAGACAGAATGATAGCCAAGAAGGGATGTCTGAGATTTTAGGGTAAGAAACTGCTGAGAAAACTGTGACAGTATTTTTCCCAAGCCAGACTGCAATGCTACAAGAATAGTACTAGTACACTAATTAACACAACGAATACCAAAAAATGAGTCCCTTCATTACTTCTTTTTCCTTAACTTGATGTTATACCTTTTATTTCTCTGACATTGATTCCCCAGGATAGTGAGAAACTATTGCTAAATTATGTAGTATCAGTAATTTGAGGAGAATGTCTTGGTAAAAGCAAGGAAGTAATCTCCCTCTATAGTGGTATATAATTTTCAGTTAATATATACTAAGCATATTTATTGATTAATTCTTTCATATACAAAGTCTGTAATAGTGAAATTATGCATAATAGTTTTTCATATTAAAAAATAATTATATGTGGAATTCAGTATAATTAAAAAACTAAACTAGTTTTTTGTTTATAAAAAATTACAAAAACTTCTATAAGGTGGTAAGAAATCATGCATCAGAAAGAAAAGACCACAGCCAGGCATAGTGGTGCACACCTGTAATCCCAGCAACTGGGGAGACTGAGGCAGGAAACAAGTTCTAAGACAGCCTGGGCAATTTAATGAGACCTTTTCTCAAAAATAAAATTGAAAGGGCTGCGATGTAGCTCAGTGGTAGAACATTTACCTAGCATGTATGATTTTTATTTATCAATAGCATTTATCTTTCCTCCATCATTTTTCTTCATCATGTTCTCTTGGCATTAGCTTTTTGTTGATGGAATAATAAACCTAAGAAAAACAAAATAGAGGAGGAAAGATTTCTTTTTTACTCAAAGGTTTTAATATATGGTTGGCTGGCTCCATTGTTTTCACCCAGGTGGGGGAAAGGGTGGATGATGAGAAATAGCCTTCCAGGGACCTATTTCCTCCAATAGGCCCCTACAGTTTCCCTCATCATCCAATCACTTCCCCAGTTCCCCAACTCTGCATTTCATATCCAAGCCATAGCACTCTTGGATATATAGTGTTCAATGAAGTAGTCTGCTTTGTTTTTCTATTTAGCCTTCAACTGTGCCTTTTTAAAAAAAAAAAAAAAATATTTTATTTTATTTTTTTGCAGTTGTAGATGGACAGCATAGCTTTCTTTCTTTCTTTCTTTCTTTTTCTTTTTTGCTTTCTTTCTTTCATTTCTATGTGGTGCTCAGGATGGAATCCAATGACACACATGCCAGGCAAGCACTCTACCACTGAGCTACAATCACAGCCCTATACCTTTCCTTTTGAATCAGTAAAATATGCCAGACTGGTTTGTTTCTAATTTTAAAAGCTTTGGTCATAGATGATAATTATTATTATTATTATTATTTTTCAAACATTTCATTTGTTATCAAGGTGCAGGGTATAGGAAATACTTTTAGTAACTTTTTTTTTTAAGGAAAAAATGTTATTTAGCTGACATAGAATTAGAAAGTCTTTCAACTTCTTTTATATAATGTTCATTTTATTTTGGTGCTGACACTTTATAAGAAAAAGCATAGAACTTTTACGTGTACATAGAGTACATATTATTTGCTACTTCTTTCAAATGTCAATACTTTCTGATCTAGTTAAAATGATGGATTGTGTCATAACACCAACATCAATAAGGAAAAAAAAATAGTACCTGCTGCCAGACTTCACTAGAGCTTGAATTTTAATTCCAGATACTCTCTTAGGAATAATTGTTTTTTTAAACAATTGTTCTTAGGATAATGATATGCTTTATAAAAATAATTCCAGGATATTTGTTCACTTAATCAAAAATTTGTTGAAACTGTATTATATGGTCTAAACACTAAATAGTGTAGATTGAATCACATTTTTTTTTTATTAAATAATATTAGTTTCTTTTTTCTTCAGCTTTTATTTTCGAGAATCTCAAACCCACAAAAGAGTTGGGACAGCACAATGAACATTTATATTCACTTTTCTTAAATTCACCAATTATTATCATATTGAATATTTGCTTTTTTCTATATTTCTGCACACACATTTTTGCCCTAAATCACATGACAATTAGTTGCAAGTATCATAGTACTTTTTTTTTAACCCACCAGTGCTTCATCATTTGTCTCCAAAGAAAAAGGAATTCACCTGTTTAAAGTCTTCTTTATAGATTAACATTAAACAGGGATGAGAGGTGGGAGGGAAAGGGAGAGAGAAGGGAAAATGCATGGAAATGGAAGGAGACCCTCAGAGTTATACAAAAGTACATACAAGAGGAAGTGAGGGGAAGGGGAAAAATAATATAAGGGGGACAAACGAATGTCAGTAGAGGGAGCAGAGAGAGAAGAGGGGAGGGGAGGGGAGGGGAGGGGAGGGGAGGGGGGATAGTAGAGGATAGGAAAGGCAGCAGAATACAACAGACACTAGTATGGCAATATGTAAATCAATGGATGTGTAACTGATGTGATTCTGCAATCTGTATATGGGGTAAAAAAGGGAGCTCATAACCCACTTGAATCAAATTGTGAAATATGATATATCAAGAACTATGTAATGTTTTGAACAGCCAACAATAAAAAATTAAAATAAAAAAATAAAGTCTTCTTTATAATCACAATATAATTATCTCATGCAATTTAGCGTTGATACAGTATTACCTAATATAAGGTTAATATTCAGAATTTTTTAGTTTTTCCAATAATGTCCCTTAAAGCTTTAATTTTTTTTCAGTGTAGGCTCTAATCAAAGATCAATTTGTTGTCTTTAGTTTCCTATAATATAGAAGAGATTCCTAATGTTTTTCCTTTTTTTTTTCTCTCCTGCTTTTTTAAAAAAAAATCTACTGTGAAATTGACTTTTAGTTTCAATAGTCCAAGCCAGTTGTTTTATAAAATAGCTCTTAATATGGATTTATCTGATTGTTTCCTCATAAGTAGGTTTAAATTATGTATTCTTGGCAGTATGCTGCATAGATAACATTGTGTTCTTCCTAAGGCATAAAATCAGGGGGCACATGGCTGATAATCCCATTATTGGTGATGTCTAATTTGATCAAGGTGGTACAGGCCAAATTTTCATTGTACAGATTTCCTTTTTTCCTTTGTAATTAATAAGTAACCAGTGATGTTCTGCACTGAAACTGCGAATGTCCTGTTCTTAATAAATCATTTGCCCAGGAAATTGTGTATCCATCTACTCTTGCCTTAATCAATTATTTCTATGGTGATTATGATACTTTTATTATTCTATCTACATTCATTTGTTATTCTTTTGTAAAAGATGGTTTTCTTTTTTCTTCCCCATCCCTCGCTAAAATAATAATAATAATAATATCAACATAAACTCATGGATTCTTTTTTTATTTTTATTTTTGGGTACTGGGGATTGAACTCAGGAGCACTCGACCACTGAGCCATATCCCCAGCCCTATTTCATATTTTATTTGGAGACGGGTCTCACTGAGTTGTTTAGCGCTTTTTTGCTGAAGCTAGCTGACTTTGAATTCACAGTCCTCCTGCTCAGCTTCCCAAGCCAGTCATGGATTCTTAATTAGGATGTTATAGTTCATTATTATTATAATTATTCTTTTTGACACTTAAATTGTTCCAGATGTAGCCATTAGGATGCCTTCACATTGGGTCCCATGTTCTGCTAAATCCTTATCATTTTTTGAGCCCTTTATTTTTTGGCACAATGAAATGTTCTTGTCTCCCTCCTGCTCCCCTGGAATCATATAAGTCTCCATCTTTTAAAATATATATATTATTTATTTATTTATTTATTTATTTGAGAGAGAGAGAGAATTTTAATATTTATTTTTAGTTATCGGCGGACACAACATCTTTGTTTGTATGTGGTGCTGAGGATCGAACCTGGGCTGCGCGTATGCCAGGCGAGCGCGCTACCGCTTGAGCCACATCCCCAGCCCAAAGTCTTCATCTTTTTAAAGAAAATCTGAGCATTTGTCACATGAAAAAATTGTTTTGTGGCTACATGTGGAGGTGGCTGTAATGCCAGCAATTCGGGAGGGTGAGATAGGAGGATTTTGAGTTCAAAGCCAGCCTCAGCAACTTAGTGAGGCCCTAAGCAACTTAGCAAGGAAAAAAGAGACAGAGAGAGAGAGAAAGTGTTTTGCCTCTCCTCTTGTGGAAAAAACACATTAATGTATATGATTTTTGAAATCTGAAATTACAAAAAGAAAATTAACAATTTATTTAAAGCTGTCACAGTGACAAAGGTAAGTTCTGACCAAGCTTAAATTTGCCTTAAAAACAAAACAAAACAAAACTCTGATGCTTGTGTCAGCTTTATCCAAGTTTAAATTTGAATGCAAATCTCAGACAAGATTACATCTAGGCAATATTTTTAAGAACATAAATTATGTTTCCTTTCCTCCTATTTCTACTTTCTATTCCTTTTTGCCTAATTTTAGTGCTTCTCTTCCTAACTTCACCTTCTTTAAGGGAATAAGAGCATTCATATTCCCTAATAACTTTCTAGTAACAGAAAAAAAAATTGATAAATCTCATTTATGATTGAATTTCTGAATACAAGAAATATTTTTGAGTATAATGATCTTGTTAGGAAAAAAAAAAGTGATATTGGCCGTGTGCAATGGTACATCCCTGTAATCCCAGCAGCTTAGGAGTCTGAGGCAGGAGGATCGTGAGTTCAGAGCCAACCTCAGCAAAAGTGAGACACTAAGCAACTCAGTGAGACCCTGTCTCCAAATAAAACACAATGTGGCTCAATGGTTGAGTGCCCAGAGTTCAATCCCCATACCCCCCAAAAAAGGGATATTATGTTCATGTGAAAATGTATAATAACAAATCCTACCATTATGTACAACTATAATGTACCAATTAAAATATGGAAAAAGAATTTTTAGGAAAGAGTGCTTAATTTAAATTTATTTTCAGTAATAATCTTTTAATATTATCATTATATTAGTGGCTTTTTACCATTAGTATCACTATATCTATAAAAAGTTGAAATGTAATCTGAATGCTGCAAATAAACTCTATATTATTTGAAATGGTGGACTATTTGAAGCAATACATTTAAGTAAATACTATATAACATGGAGTTATATACCAACATTTGTTTAATTCATCATAGAAATTTGTACCTAGATTAGTCTTTTCAATACTCTACTATAACCACTGCTTTACAGATGCAGGAGAATTGGGAAATACTGTGTTTTGTAATTTTTAATAGTTATTGCTTTGTAATTTAAGGATCCATGTATTTATGATCATCTGCACTAAATCTTTAAATGTTTTAGTATCAGTTTTAATAAGTCTCCTGGACTCCAGTCTTACCATAACTAGTTTAATGTCCTTGAGGAAGTCATTTATTCTTTGTGAGTCTAACTCCTGTTTTGTAAAAAAAAAAAAAAATGTAGCTAAGACTTTTCTAGCAAAGACCTTTCTAGCATTAAATATTTGAATTTCACACTAACATGAGGTTAATGTACTGTATGTCCACTGAATTTTTGTATCTGTATTTGGCAAGGGGAAAGGAGACTACGACACTTTACCACTGAGCTACATCCCCAGCTCTTTTTGCTTTAAGACGGGTGTCACAAAGTTACTTAGTGCCTTGCTAAGTGGCTGAGACTAACCTCAAACTTGCAATTCTCCTGCCTCAGCCTCTGAACCACTAGGATTACAGGCATGTGCTACCACACCTGGCTTTTTGTATCTTTTTTTTTAAGGGATTTAAAGGGATTTGGAGAGAATGTATGAGACTGAGCTGTGAAAGGAACATTTAGAAACATCTTTCTGAAAGAAGCATTTAGGGGGCTGGGGTTGTAGTTGTAAGGCCCTGGGTTCTATCCTTAGCACCACATAAAAATAAATAAATAAATACAGGTTAAAAAAGAAGAAGAAGCATTTAACGATGTGGATATTATAGACAGGAGTGGTATTTTGCAGCATAAACAAAATGCTTCATTTTTAAAACTTTATATATTCTACTTGGTAAAAGTTTGCAGTTATGCTATCAATTTCCTTTGATTGTAGCCTCCTTTAACTTTTGCACTTCCCTTCCTACCTTAATCAAGTCCTTGGAATAGTGTGTGTATTTTTAACATTTTTACAACCATTTTGCAGCTTGAAGTGCTATGGCTTGTTACCAAGGAATACACAGGCAGTTGAATAAATACATTACCTAGCCTTCTGGCCCTGCCAACTTTCTACCAGGTTTATTTATTTATTTATATATGACAGCAGAATGCATTACAATTCTTATTACACATATAGAGCACAATTTTTCATGTCTTCATACCTGTACTTTGGATAATAATGATCATCACATTCCCCAAGTTTATTTTCAATTTCTTATTGAGGCATTAGTTTCTTATTACAGATTCATCTTTATTCCCTATATCTGCACCTCTCAGCTTACTTATAAAACTCTTTAGAAGAACCTCCCCACTTACTGCTCCTGAGACATTTCTTTTCTACTAAAGGAAAAGAGGGAAAGAAAAATACATGTTTCAAAAAATATTTATACAGTTGATTCTCAATGTTTGCAGTGGTAATGTTCTATGTTGACCAAGGAATTAGTGAATGCTAAAGTATTGTTCCTAGGCAAGACACAAGATTAGGATTTTTTTGGTGGGGAGGGCATGTCCAGGTTTGAGGGGGTGGGGCATTTAAGCACTGAGGCACATTCCTTTCCTTCTTATTATTTTGAGACAGGGTTTCACTGAGATGCTTAGGGCCTCACTAAATTGCTCAGTCTGGGTTTGAACTTATGATCCTCCTGCCTCAGCTTCCCTCTGTGATTATAGGTGTGCACTACTAAGCCTGGCTCGGATAGATCATTTTTTGTCAACCAGTCAACAACCTTATTTTATGAGTGTTTCTGTTTTAAAATACTTTATTTAATAATATACTATTGATTCATTGACATTAAACTCATAGCCAACAACACTATAATTCATGCCTGAACAAAGCTTATCTGACATGTATTTTCTCCATCACAGCCTTTCTCCACTTAGTACTAGCTATTACTTTAACCTTACACTTGAGTGAGGGTTGGGTGGGGGCAATATTTCAAACAGAAAAAACACCAACAAAACGTACAAAAATATGAAAAACATGACACTAAATAGACCATGAAAAGGACACTTGTCTATGGTATGAGCTGAAATAACAAGGCAGAGTGTTGCTGGGCAATTCAAATTTTTTGCCTATCCTCAGATATCCCCAAATGACCATTGAAGTTCTGTGAGTATTGATTTTTAGGTATTTATAAATAACTTTTAGCTAGTACATGAACTCAGAACTTTGCAGTTAATGAGGATCAACTGTACCATGTATCTTTTAAAATAAAATTCAGACAACTTGGGGCTGGGGGTATGGCTCAAGTAGTAGCGCGCTCACCTGGCATGTGTGAGGCACTGGGTTCGATCCTCTGCACTGCATAAAAATAAAATATTGTGTCCACCTAAAGCTAAAAAATAAATATCTTTTAAAAATTCAGACAACTTCTGTATATTTCATTCTGTTTCAGAAAGAAAAGAGATAATATCTATTTCTAAACTTTGTATATCTACATAATGAGTGGCATGTGTTGGAGGAGATTAGGATAAAAATGGCACCAACTATCCTACTGCTTTCTATTGAGTTTTATGCCTACTTTTAGATTTAAGAAAAGAATTTAACAATTTACACTTGAGAATTATCTGGGATCTCTGTTAAAAGCTCAGGACTACTTAAGTAACAATTTTTTAGGCAATTTGTCTTAAGGTAATTTGTGAAGGCTGCTTGTAATTTCTAAACATCTCGCCATTGGGGCAGTAGATGTTGGACATACATCATTCCTACCCACATTTTAAATTGCTAACTCCTTGGTTTTTAATTTTAATTTATATATATATATATATATATATATATATATATATAATATTTTTTTAGTTGTAGATGGACACAATATCTTTATTTATTTATTTATTTTTATGTGGTGCTGAGGATCAAACCCAGTGCCTCACATGTGTGAAGCAGGTGCTATATCACAGAGCTATATCCTCAGCCCCATTTGTATTTGTTTTAATGGGTTTTAGTTTAATTAAAGTGTCTGTGTCTTTTATTGTAAGCTGTCACCTAACAGTTTATTTAGGATGGGAACAACTATAAATATAACTTCTATACCTAAATTATAAAGATGAATCTCCAATTTGGGGCCACCATCCTAGGAAAAGTTTTATATTGATTGGACTTTACGTATACTTGAACACAATATTAATAGAAAAGAGTAATTTTTTAATTTTGAAATTCTTCCATCTACTATTGTGCATCTAATATTATGCATTGGTTCCGTAGGCTTTGTAGCTGAGCAGTTTCTAAATAATACAGCCACTCAACTGACATACCATGGATTATGTGAACTAACTTCAACCGTTCAGGAAGGAGAACTTTGTGTGTTCTTTCGGAATAATCATTTTAGCACCATGACCAAATACAAGGTATGATATAGAAATAGCTATTCAGTTATTATTCTAAGTCAAAGGAGCTTGATTTAGAGATATTGTTTGATTTTCTTCAAAATAAAAGATTATAGGATAGTATTCCTTAACCATCAAATTGTGAAAGTAATTATTAAATACTTTTAGGATGGAACGGATTAGCAATTGTTCACAGATTACCACATTAAGAAATATTTATTTTCTAGAAGGGGGGGATAATATCCTAGAAATAGAAAGAACTAGGGTGACTTTTAATAATGGATGCTTGTGAAGTAAGCACTAAGATTTATCTGTGCACACCTATAATCTATTCAAGAGGCTGCAGTAGGAATATCATTGTGTTCAAGGCCAGCCTGTACAACATGGTAAGACCCAATATTTATTTATTTATTTATTTTAATTTTTTTTATTAGCTACACATGACATTACAATGATCTTGGCAATTCATACATTTGAATCATTGAGGTATAATTTCTCATTTTTCTAATTGTACAGATTGCAGAATCACACTGGTCAGAGAGTCACCTGTATACATACAGCAGTCATAATGTCTATTCTATTCTTCGGCCCTTCCTATCCCCCCTACTCCTCCCCTCCCCTCCCATCATTTCTCTCTATCCAATCTAATGTGACACACTTTTTTTTTCTTTTCTTTTTCTCGTCATAATATCATACATGTATTCTGTATAACGATGAGGTTCTCCTTCCATCTTCCGTGCAACTCCCCTTCTCCCTTTTTTTTCCTCCCACCTCTCTTCCCTATTTAGTAGTAGTCTTCCTCTCATGCTCTTCCTCCCTATCCCATTTTGAGTCACCCCCCTTATATCAGAGAAGACATTCGGCATTTGTTTTTTAGGGATTGGCTAACTTCACTTAGCATAATCTGCTCTAATGCCATCCATTTCCCTGCAAATGCCATGATCTTGTTATTTTTTAGTGCTAAGTAATATTCTGTTATGTATAAATGCCACATTTTTAATCCATTCATCTATTGAAGGGCATCTAGGTTGGTTCCACATTCTAGCTATTGTGAATTGTGCTGCTATAAATATTGATGTGGCTATGTCCCTGTAGTATGCTCTTTTTAGGTCTTTTGGGTATAGACCGAGAAGGGGAATAGCTGGGTCAAATGATGGTTCCATTCCCAGCTTTCCAAGGAATCTCCATACTGCTTTCCAAATTGGCTGCACCAATTTGCAGTCCCACCAGCAATGTACGAGTGTACCCTTTTCCCCACATCCTCGCCAGCACTTGTTGTTGTTTGACTTCATAATGGCTGCCATTCTTATCGGAGTGAGATGGTATCTTAGAGTAGTTTTAATTTGCATTTCTCTGATTGCTAGAGATGGTGAGCATTTTTTCGTGTATTTGTTGATTGATTGTATATCCTCTTCTGAGAAGTGTCTGTTCAAGTCCTTGGCCCATTTGTTGATTGGGTTATTTGTTTTTTGTTGTTGTTGTTGTTTAACTTTTTGAGTTCTTTATATACTCTAGAGATTAGAGCTCTATCTGATGTTTGAGAAGACCCAATATTTAAAAAGAAAGAAAAATTGCCTTTATGGTAGTGTTTACTATCAATGTGACTTTAAATTCTTCTTTTATTGCTTTTCATGGCTCTGCCAAAGGGGGAAAACCCTTTATTATTATTATTATTATTATTATTATTATTATTATTATTATTATTCTACTTATACATGACAGAAGAATGTATTTTAATTCATTGTACACAATGGAGTGCAACATTTCAATTCTCGGAGTTGTACGCAGTGTAGAGATGCACCATTTGTGCAATCATACATGTACCTAAGGTAATGACGAAACCCTTTTTTGTTATCTCTTATATCTATCCCTTTTTTTTTTAATATTAGGTGTCACCTAGTTTAGGAGTCTGTCAATTTGTACCTAGACTTCTATGGTAGAATACTGTTCTTACCATGTCAGTAATACAGCAGAAATATTCAGTAGCACCTAGTGCCTAGAGGATTAAAATGCAAGCTATGTTCTGCTATTCCCAGTTACCTATACTTTGTGTAAGCCAAAATAGTTTCTTTCATTGACAATCCCCCATGCTTTTTTGTTTCTACAACTTTACTTGCATTCTTACTCCTTAATCTCTATTCACAAAGCTCTAATCAATTTTTTTGGTCTGTCCAAATATTATCTGTCTTGAGTCTGGGATGTTGCTCAGTGATAGAGCATTTGCCTAGCCCTGTGTGAGGCCCCGCGTTTGATCCCCTTCACATGCACACACCAAAAAAAAAAAAAGAAGAAAGAAAAGAAAAAAAATGATCCATTCTATTTTTATTATTATTATTTTTATAGTTACAGATGGACAGCATACCTTTATTTTATTTATTTATTTTTTATGTGGTTCTGAGGATTGAACCCAGAACCCAGTGCCTCACAGGTGCCAGGCAAGCACTCTACCACTGAGATATAACCTCAGCCCAAATGATCCATTCTTTAAGAAGCATTTCAAACACTAAGCCTTCAGGAAAGCTACCCCTTCTCTTCCTAAAGCAGTGGTTCTCAACCCAGATTGTATGACAGAACCATCTGGGGAGCTTTTTAAAAAATACCAATGCCCAGAACTTACACTAACTCAATTAAATCAGAATCTCTGGAGGTAGGACCTGAGCATCATTTGGGTTGTTTTGTTTGTTTGTTCTATTTCCTTTATTTCCATTATACCATCTTTCTAATCTTGACAGTTTTGGATAAGACGTACTTTTACTTCTGTCAAGCACCCATTGAAAGCATTATTTATAAGGGTTAGAGATACTTCTTAATTGACCCAGAGACCGAATGCCTGATTTATAGCAGAATTTTTTAACATTGTGGCTATGGATGTAAACTAGAAACTGAATCGGAATGCTTTAAAAATACTAAACCAAGAGCCAGGTACAATGGCACCTTCTTGTGGTCCTAGTTACTTTGGATGTCGAGACAAGAGAATCACTTGAGCCCAGGAGTTTTAGACCAGCCTGGGCAATGTGTCTTGACAACAACAATAAAAAAAGTTCTTTCAGGAATTTGTACCTGAAGAAAAGCAATTTAACCAGAGAAAATACTGAAAAATAAATAATTAAAACTTGGTGGTGGGAGAGGGTTTTTTCTGACATGTATCAATTTGGATAGGGTGGAAGATTGTACCATTGTTCTAATAAGTTTGTTCAGCATTAAAACTACTATTCTCGTCCATTAGTTCTTGGATTTTTAGAGTGTTTATAGCTCTTTATAAATTTGAGCCCAAGGGAATCTGTGTTCTCCTAGGACACAAGGAAAAAAATAGCTCGTTTTTCAAACAAAATAAGACTACTTTAATACTACATTAGGTCTTCATAATGCCATTCAACTAAAACCATGAAACTCTTTTGTCATCTAAAGAGCTGTGGCCCTATCCTGAAAAATCATACTGGGATTGAACCCAGGGATACTCTACCACTGAACTACATCCCCATTCTTCCTACCTCACTTTACCTGCCCACTCCACCCCTAATCCCCCCACCTTTTTTTTTCTTTTGAGATAGGCTAGTCTCAGACTTGCAGTCTTCCTGCCTCAGCCTTCTTAGTGTGGGAGATTACAGATGTTTACCACCTGCACCACCACACCTGGCACTAGGGGCTTTTGTTTGACTATAGGGAAGGTATATCTCTATTCCAGTACTTGTCTAGATATTGAGGCTGTGGAGTTAGGTTAGACTCTTTGGTGACATTCTATACACCAAAGCATTGAAAAGTATATAACTATTTCTAAAACCTAGATCTGGACAAAGTATTCTGCTTATTAACTTTATAATTCCATCTTCATAGACTGCCATAGTCCTTCTGCCAATTTTATATATTAATCAAATATACTAAACTGATAAATTAATCAAATATACCTATTTTTCTTTCTGAACAGTATCACCAACCTCATGCTTCCCAATTACTTAATATTGTTAGAACTATGATTTTGTTTGCATAGGATATTTTCTCTGATGATAGATACTAATTGACTTCCTATTGTTTGAAAGACCTCTTACCATTCCTAGTTTTGTGATTTACCATTCCTAAATTCTGAACAAATACCTCTGCTGTTTCTTCCACTACTAGCAAAACAATCAGGTCCAGCACTGTTATTACTTGTAATAGCAGCCTCCACAAATCCTTCACTAAACTTTTCATCCCTTATTTGCACATTGGCAGCAAATATGTATACCCCAAATTTCTGCTATCATGTATGTTACCAACCTCTTTGTACTTCTGCCTAATCTTATGCAATTAAACTGGGCAGATAGGGGGCAAATTCACATTGAACACATGACTGTGCTTTTCAATAGCATGAATAGATTATAATCTGAAAGCAGAATGAGGACATGGGGGTAGATGCTTTTCAGGGCTATTCCTATGGGTACAGATAGTATGAGATAATATTTTATCCAATCAGGAAGCTTAAAAGTATAAAAATGAGTTGTAAAGAAACTACCTTTTTCTTCTAGATCTGTTTTGCTTCTCAAATCATTTGCATAATTATGACTCCTTGGTTCTTATCATTACCTAATTTTATATCCAAGACTTAGTTATTACAGTTTATTTTTATGATCCTCCTTTTTTAATACTTTCTACTTGCTCTTAACTAAAATAAACTACTAATTGCTTGGCCCCTGTCTCAATCACATAGCTTCTGGAACTTTGGTTCACATAAGGATATTTGCCGTTTCCCCATTGTGACTCCTTCTGGATCATTCTTTGATCATATCAGTCTTTATATTCATGTCATAACTGTTTCCCTTTACTCTTGATTTTAAATTACTGCTATCTCCCCGGAGTATATTCAAAACCTAATGTTTTTTACAATGTTTTTTGTTTGTTTGTTTAACTTTATATTTAGGTGTTGGAAGTGAAAAATACTTTAGAAGGAGTATAGTTCTGGATTTTTACTGGAGCCAAGTTAAAAATAAATTGTTTTCTGTATAACGATGAGGTTCTCCTTCCATCTTCCGTGCAACTCCCCTTCT